TACATGTACAAATAATTGTATGTTTATTTTTCACCATTAGATATCCGAGGAATTTTCTATAGAGAATCGGATAACGCCGAGGGACATAATGGTGTCAATAAATATCGAGAAATTTAGCGAAGCGGATTGCCCGTTTACCATTGAGTGGTCTCGCGGTGCGGAAATCAAACGAACATTTGATTCAATCGATTGTATCTTATGTTCTGGCGGTAGCGTCTTCTTTGTTCTCGAGTTCAAATCGAAGAAGCGGGGCAGCTTTAGTATCGAGGCGCCGATATATGTTCGCGGTGAGCTCGACAACGGCGTGTTCAATAAATTACGTCTCGACGGAGAATTTCCCGCCAGTTCGATCGACGTCGAGCCGACGGAGATATATTTCACGCCTGTTCCTCTTGGTACAGCGATAGAGGAAAAGTTCAGAATCCGAGCAAGGCACTTTGATAACGCAACGTTTATACGGTCGAACTTCTCGATGATGCCGCAATGCAGCAGTGATTATAAAAATGAGTTGTTACGCATCGAATTCCCAAATGGCAATATCATCTCCTCCCAACAGTGAGTTGTGTTTAGAGATTAAAAGGATATTAAAAAAACAGAAACTTTGGGTAAAAAACTCGGTAAAAAATTATTTTTTACTCCCCCAAAAATGGCTTTTTTTACCCCATTAATTACTCAGAATATCCATTTTCAAAAATTTATAGCAAAAATCTAATTTTGATGCTTATTTATTAACATTTGATGTACGGTTTTCAAAAATGAGCATCAAATTTACTAAAATTAAGTATCAGATTCTATGTCCTGTGTTATTCTCACTTTTAATCCACAAAATAACAAAAATAACAACAGTTTAACTATGCTTGAGAGAGTTTTCTTCTAACTTTTATGAAACTTTAAAAATAAAGAACATGACAAAATTTGAATTATAAAAATCAGAATTAACCTGTTTTGAAATATTCTAACTCAACTGATTAAACAAACACGAAGTAGTAATCAGTTCAGCCACATCTATTGAAATTGGTTACTGACCCAGTAAACAAAATTAATTTAATTCCCATATCATCTTTTGTTTCAAGAAAACTGGCACTATCTTTCAAAATTACCAAAAAACAGTTTTTTATTCAAAAATACTAGTTTTTTACTTAGTTTCTTCCCCCATTTAAAAAAAAACTCGGTTTTTTAAATCTCTAGTTGTGTTATGTTAATTACACACACATGTGTATACGAGGGGGGACCCAAAAGAAACCGGAATTATTTTCTGGAAGGCGGGCCACTTGTAGTATAGGTTTCTCCCACTAGGTGAATGTTCTAGTGACCCATCTGCATCAATATACCAGCTGACGTTGTTATGGGAGTCTACGTTCGGCTTCAGCGAATTTTTTTTGAAGACTCTTTCAACGCGTTTGCCTATTTCGTGATGGCTGATTTACACGAACAACGTGCGACAGTGAAATTTTGTTTCCTGTTGGGGAAAAACAATTGTTATGCTACAAACAGCTTACAAGGAAGCTGTTCTGAATAAAAGACAAGTTTACGAATGGTTTTCCCGTTTTAAACGAGGCGAAATATCGATTGACGATCAACCTCGTTCCGGGCACCCTTCGACTCGTTTCATGCCCAAATCTTCCGATAAAATTTGCTGACAGAAACTCCACGACACTCTAGTTAACTCCACAAGTTCATCAATGGTCCGACAGCGGTCTTCCAAGATGGCTTGACGAATTCTTACCACGTTTTCTGCAGTTCGGTTGGTCGAAGAACGCTCGGAACGAGGCGATGATCGTCAATTGACATTTCGCCTCGTTTAAAACGGGAAAACCGTTTGTAAACTTGTGTTTTATTCAGAGCAGCTTTCTTGTAAGCTGTTTGTAGCATAACAATTGTTTTTCCCCAACAGGAAACAAACTTTCACTGCCGCACGTTGTTCGTGTAAATCAGCCATCACAAAATAGGCAAACGCATTAAAAGAGTCTTCAAAAAAAATTCACTGAAGCCGAACGCAGCCTCCCATAACAACATCAGCTGGTATATTGATGCAGATGGGTCACTAGAACAATCACCTAAGGTGGAAATCTGTACTATAAGAGCCCCGCTTTCCAGAAAAAAATTCCGGTTTCTTTTGGGGCCCCCCCCCCCCGTATGTGTGTAATTAATATAAGCATTAATTTTCTACAAAATAATATATTTACAACAGGTATATATGTGTTGTAAATCTATCATTTTGCAAAAAATTAATGTTTTCTTAATCAACCAAATATTTTATTTGGAAATATATCTAAAAAAATGTTTTTTGTTGCACAAAAAGGTATGTAGAACTTGAAGCAAGAATAATATTCAAAAGTGATCAACCGATATCGTTTCGTTCAACGATTGAATTTTCGGACGATCTTGCACTTGCTGTGTGCTTTTTAACGGTATATGCAACAGCGGACAACAGTTTGTTAACGACATATATATATTCAATGAAATCATGCATCGTTGATGAGATAGATACGACAGTCAGGTATCTGGAGGAGCACATTTCGTATCCATTGGATAACACAACAGATGAGAACGATTATACCGATGAAGAAATATTTCGTACACGTAGACGCGTGCGTTCTTATTTTCTAACTTTTTTTGTTTATTACATAATGAATATTTCACAGTAAAATCGAGAAGTAAAATCGATACAGTTTCGGTGAATTCAGATTTGTGTTTATAAAATAATCTCTACTTAGATTATAGAATAAACAGAATCCCGACAATTGATGTAGGGGAAAGTAGGGTAAAACCGGGTAGACGGGTCAAACCGGGTACCTCTGTTTCTTCGTGATAAGTGCTATTATCTTTGGCTAACTCGTGTTATTAGTTGTAGATTGATGCCATCATTGTTTTGAGATGAACCGCCCACGTGCACACGATATTTCTTTTTTGAGAGAAGTTCAAAATTTTCGGGGCAAAAAAGATCGATATCGGGACAACAATCGAGTCGTTATGGACTTTTTCTTCACAGAGCATCTGCTTCAGTAAATGTAGCATTGCATTCTGTATATGTATATTAGAAAGTATATCGCATTAGTTTTGAACATCACTTTGTACGCCGGAATATACAGTCGCCCTGTTTGTTATTTTCTTCATGTTGGGGCAAAACGAGGTACCTACACACCTCATGTAATGAAAAAAGGAAGAACTGTTATCCTGACTTTGTCTTTCTACAAAAAGCAGTTGGAAACAAAAACTACCATTCAGAAAAAGAAACCACTAAAAAAAAGCTTTTTGAGACCTCTAAAATTAAAAAATTAAATAAGAAAGTTAGCAGCAATATAGAACAAGAGGATACCTTTATTTGTGATTTTTGGCAATAGAATATATCTTTGTATTGTATTTTGATTAAAATAAATTTAGATTTTGTAATTGCAAGATGTTTTACATGTTTTCAAATGAGTACCTGGTTTTACCGGTAGGACAAAACTGGGTATTTTGACTTCTTCAAAAAATCTTGTTATCCTTGGTAATCAAATACTTTTTTATCAGGGACTAGCCTCATTTTCTCATAGTTTAAGGTCCACTAAAGACTACTAACGGTCAGCAAAATTTTTTTACTCTCTGATTTTTTGTAGAAAAACAAATTCAAAAAAGTACCCGGTTTTACCCTACTTTCCCCTATATATAAGGTTCTTTTTTTTCATACTTGTAACAGTAGACATTGGATTCTTCAAAAATCATATCGGTTTTATTTCTAGCTCTTTAGAATTGAAAATGGCTTTATACGGTTTGTATTTTCTTATAAGTAAAAACACGCTTGCTCTATGTTATATTTAAATTCAAAGTGAATTATTTAGGCCAAGACCCAATGTTACTTTTCATTTTAATAATCGAAGCAAAGATTTCATTAAAACAATAATAAATACAAAATTATATGGAAATGAAAAGATAAACATTAATGATAGAATAAATAGGGAGACTCCGTTTGCCTACATTTCCGATTGCCAAATAGCCATCGACAAATCGAGAATGTAGACAAACAGGACTCCCCCAAATAAATAACAAGAATATGCAGATAAGTGGAAAATGGGTAGCGGCTGATGATGAAGAATATGATGATGAAGAAGTATCGATTCGTAAAAGACATTCCGCGTTTCCTATTGATTTCGATACGAGTAAGCGCAAGTTCTCCGAAAGATTGTTGCATCCTTATTATCCCACCAACAATCAAAATAGGTAAATTTCGTAAAATAAGTAATAGAATGATCATTTTCACATATATATATTGTGAAAAATTAAAACAAACTGAATTATAATCAGGATAAGTTATTTATCTGAAAGCTTATAAATAAGATTTTTAAATTTTGTTTTTCTCATACTTATTTACCAGCAATTGCGAGAAATATATGCAGGAAATAATAACAATTATGGAAGAATGGATGTATTCGGGCCCATTAAAATTTCATTTTTATCCAAATATTCCTCATGGAATTACGGCAACTTTTTCAAACTTCTGCTTAAAAAGAAAATCAGGCATGAGAAATTTTAAACAGAAAAGTAGCGCGATTATACCGTCATTTATCAACGTACTCGAATCACTCGCAGAATCAGATATTCACAATTATCTGGGAGAATTGTAATGTAGTAATACATAAATTTATTCGATGTATGTGTGTTTTCTCAGATATATTATACTGTACTTTCTTATCCAAGGTTGAAACAACCATTACCCGAAAACGACATCGAGAGAATAAATCATGTCCTCCAATTATATGATAAAATGCTCGATTTTCTTCTATCTCGGGGAGCGTATTTAATTCATGTTTCAGCGCAATATCTCCTAAATTACAACGATTATTTAATTAGCATTGACATCATACAGAATAATGTGAGTTTTAAACTATACATTACGAGTTCTAAAAGTTATACAATTTAATCCACTAAAAAAATACATATACAGATTTTAGTTACATAAAAATGTTTTTATATAAAAATCTGTGCAGTTAACTATAATACATTACAGTCACATAGAAGGAAATTTTCCGATACGAATCGTACTGGGATGCAATGCGAACGATTATCCCGACAATTATTTGAAACACGAAACAAACAATATTGGTTGGACGTGATTTTGCAAACATATAAGTGTTTTGTACTCCGTGGAATACACGAACCTAAATTCCGCACGTTATCGTCCTTCGCAGCACGTTCCTCAAGAAGGTCCACAATAATTCGGGAATCAATAGTATCGTCTATATCCAGGTTCATTATTTTACGTCATGTCTGTATGTGTAATTTACAATTATTTTTAATCGTGTTTATATTTTACAGCTTGCCAAAACAGTACGAACTTCATGAGAGAGCCATATGGAATATCGTAAATTTGCCGAGTGGCAAACTCACTTCAGATAACCGTTGTTCGGCAGAAAGGTTTTTACTGTCTTGGCTGCAGTATCATTACGAGCAACAGCGTGTGCGAGATTGGATGACCGATCGCCGTGTAATTTTAAATCCGCGAGAGAAGCAGGATGTAGCCGAGCACCGTATGATCCAAAATTTTCATCATGATTTGTCGGACAGCTTAGTGCTAATCGCGGTTACCGTAGCCTACTGTCCTTTTCTGATCGACGAATATTTTGGCAATTTATATATTTGTACGCGGAACAAAAAAGAGGTAATCTAACATTAAGCAATAATGAAAGCTTTGAGCTTGATGATAGCAACACTATATTATCAGATTAAACAATTTTTTAAATATTATAATTTATAATTTTTTCTGTACATTTCATTTAATTTTATTATTTCGTAAAAAATCACAAAAATTGAGCAAAACCATGGGTTTAGTACACTTTCAAGATAAAAACTCTGTATATGATTATAAATCCATAAATGCTTCTGTTTTGAATTATAGTTTCTAAATTATTAATGTTTCTTTCAAACCTTCCAATAAGATATTACTCAGATTATCTAAGAAAGCAATATTTATCATCATCTCTATGGTTTTAAAAATTTATTTTTATTGTAGGTATATTATTAAAAAAATGTGTGCTTTATACCCAGCAAACACAGATACATAACTGTAACATTACCATAATAAAACGGAATGTAACAAGTAATATAACGTATTTGTTACACGATACTTAAAGCATAAAAACCGTATTATATTTCTTTAAATAGGCATTAATAATATATTATAAAATATCAAACGTTTCGGTCCACTTCGGATGCTTCTCAATGATAACAAGATAACAAAAAAACGTAAATACATAGAAAATCATCGTGAGGCGAAACAATCGGTAGTACATATAATAAGATAAGAACGCAACGCAACAAAATTATAAATCATATGACAATGCGCTTACAATAATGCCAGAATCGCCAACATTTTGATGACGTCCTCCTTTTATTTGGTAATGACTCATCAAATCGTTTGGAAGAGTCGAGCTGGTGTGTGATAAGTTTGATTATTGCGAGGATTTTAATTATATGTTATCATTTGCAGCCCATCTGGCATTATTGTAAGCGCATTGTGATAGGATTTATAATTTTGTTACGTTGCATTCTTATCTTATTATTTCTATCGCCGATTGCTTCGCCTCACGATTTTCTATGTATTTGCGCTTTTTTTATTTTTTATCTTATCATCATTGAGAAGGAGGCCAAAACGCGCGTTTGATATTTTATAATATATTATTAATGCCTATTTAAAGAAATATAACGGTTTTTACACTTTAAATACCGCGTTCAAACTCTAATTGACCTTCCTTTTTTCATTATCATTAATGATACTTATCATTTGAGCTTCATTGAACATTTTAAATTTATTGTTTTATTTTTATAAATTTAAATTAAATATTCAAAATATTCATCTTGGTAATTATACAGAAAGAGGACAATCTCATGTATGACCTTGACCTTGATATACATACGTTGTCAAGGTCATCGCCCTGAGTGACCCTGATCTTGAAAAGAGTGGCGGTCACGATCCATTCAAAAATTATGAAGCATTATTAATATAAGCATAAGCAGAAGCAGATTTCTGATTTAAAATTAAAATTTATGCTTCTGCTTATGCTTATATTAATGTTTCATAACTTTTGAATGGATCGTGATCGCCACTTTTTTCAAAATCGGGGTCACTCAGGATGATGACAACATATATCAAGGTGAAGGTTATACATGAGGTTGCCCTCTTTTTGTATAATTATCTTCATCTTTACTCCTCATGCCAAGTCTCATCGTCTCACAAGGGAGGTCCATCTGAGTGTAAATTTGTTTAGCAATTTCATTAGTCTTAACTAATAAAGCACCTTTCAAAATATAACATGCTAAGTCCACAGGTCAACGTAACGTCTAATAATCGGGAAATAGGCCCTGGATCATTCGATTGAGCTTCACACAATGTCCTCTCCTAGGGCACTGTCCATTTTCTAATCCAATGCAGTGCATCGAGCGTTAAATAGCGTTTGGCATACGTATTCGATGCACTGCATTGAGAGGAGAGGACATTGTATCCTCAGTCGAATGATCCCGGGCCTATTTCCCGATTATTAGACGTTACATTGACCTGTGGACTTAATATGTTATATTTTGAAAGCGGCTTTGTTAGCTAAGACCAATGAAATTTCTAAGCAAATTTACACTCAGGTGGTCCTTCCTTGTCAGCGATTTCCAAGCCGTCCCAAAATTCCAGCATGTTTATTATTTAATTTCAATTAGCTAAAGTTTATTATGATGTTAATTTTATTTAAAAAATATAAAATCATATTATATTTAAAAAAATTGGATATGATATAATAAATATATATTAAATATGAAATATTTGAGACAAATATCAAAACAGCATGTATGAATCTGTAATCATATATAGAATTTTTATCCTAAAGATGTGCGAAACACATACCCATGGTTTTGCCCATTGCAATTATAGTGTAATTGATGAACAATCTTCAATCTTTAATCAATCTTTAATTACAATATATAATATTATGTATGTATATATTCTGTATGTTATGTAATTTTTCCATAAAATTTCATATGTACAGGCGTTGCACAATGCTATTTGTTTGATCACTGCTTGGAGAAAGATACGTCTTGGGTTTATAATTACCCCGATGCAGCTAGTTAATCCGAATCAAGTGCAAATGTTAATGCTAGTCGTTTATCTTTTCCAAATATTGCCAACATATGTGCCTTGCGCCAAGGTTTAGACATACAATTCATAATTTAATATATATATTACTTTGTACCAAATATATAAAATGTGTATAGTCTCATATAAAACATGTAACTTAAAGCATCGCGACTGTTATACTTATGTTATTATCATTGCAGATTAAATTTAGCTGTCCACTATCTCACACCGTAACGAAGCGATTAAGCGTTTCGAATCCGACCAACAATACTGTAAATTATTTACTTTCGTTCGTAAACAATACCAATCGTTTTTTCATTATTTTGAAGCCTGCGTCGATTTTACGTTTAAACGCGCACGGCAGTGGTCAAATACAAATACAATTTCACGCCAGAAAAATAAGGAAAACTAGAGGTAAATACAAATTTTTTTAGATGATCTTTTTTGTATCCAATTCTCTTGCGGATTATAGAATACGTTTCTAACTTGATCGCCTAAAATATCTTTGTTGCCTTTGACATTTAGTTAACTTGGACGAAATATCCTATAGATTATCTAAAATCGATTTAGAGAAAGTTTAAATTCTCACATATAGTGTCGCATATTAATTTATCGATAGTGTACTTGCTACTTTGTGGATATGCTGTTGGATCACATTTTGGAAGAAATCAAACTATCGTTTTGGAAGGTCATATCGATAATTTAGAAATTTCTAACGAATACACTATACAAAGCAAACTATATGAGATTGTCGACACAAGTTTGAGAATCCGTGTACCCTATCGAAATGCAGCAGAGTACGATATTTGGATGACGGAAGA